TTATGTACTGTATTTTAATTTTTTATTGTTTTATTTATTTCTGAGAGAGAGAAAGAGAGAGAGGGAGAGAGCAGGGGAGGGTCAGAGAGAGAGGGAGACACAGAATCTGAAACAGGCTCCAGGCTCTGAGCTGGCAGTCAGCACAGAGCCCAACACGGGCCTCGAACCCACGAACCGTGAGATCATGACCTGAGCCAAAGTTGGACGCTTAACCGACTGACCCACCCAAGGGCCCCTATATACTGTATTTTTTCAATAAAGTAAGCCAGAGAAAATTAAATGTTAGTAAGAAAATCATAAGGAAGAAAATATGCATTTACAGTACTGTACTACATTTATGGAAAACAAAACTGCATATAAGTGGGCCCATGCAGTTCAAACCCATGTTGTTCAAGGGTCAAACTGTATTTTCTTTTTTTTTTTTCAGTTTTCAAAATGTTTTTACTTTTGAAGAAAGAGAGACAGAGTGTGAGCAGGGGAGGGGCAAAGAGAGAGGGAGACACAGAATCTGAAGCATGCTGTAGGCTCTGAGCTGTCAGCACAGAGCTCACGTGGGGTTGGAACTCATGGACTGTGAGATCATGACCTGAGCCAAAGTCGGACTGAGCCACCCAGGCAGCCCATGGGTCAGCTGCATTTTCTGTTCAACATTATTGGAAATTAGATAACAAAAGCTGTATTTTCAAACTGTAATGACAGAATAATATTAGAAGATATTATTGCAATACGAACATTTCTGCATTTTTTTTCTTTTTACTTAGAATGTTGCTGTAATCCCTTCTCATCAGGGAAATACAAATCAAAACCACACTGAGATACCACCTCACACCAGTCAGAGTGGCTAAAATGAGCAAATCAGAGAACTCTAGATGCTGGTGAGGATATGGAGAAACGGACACCCTCCTACACTGTTGGTGGGAATGTAAACTGGCACAGCCCCTCTGGAAAACAGTGTGGAGGGTCCTCAAAACATTAACAATAGAACTCCCTTTATGACCCAGCAAAGGCACTGCTAGGAATTTACCCAAGGGACATAGAAATGCTGATGTATAGGGGCACATGTACCCCAATGTTCATAGCAGCAGTCTCAACAATAGCCAAAACATGGAAAGAACCTAAGTGTCCATCAACAGACGAGTGGATCAAGATGATGTGGTTTATCTATACGATGGAATACTACATGGCAATGAGAAAGAATGAAATCTGGCCTTGTGTAGCAACATGCATGGACCTTGAGTGTATTATGCTGAGTGAAATAAGTCAGGCAGAGAAGGACAAATACCATATGTTTGCTGGTATAGGAGGATTAGGAAGAACTTACCGGAGGATCATGGGGGAGAAGAAGGGAAGAAATAGTCAGGGAGAGGGAGTGAGGCAAACCATGAGAGACTCTTGAATGCTGAGAACAAAATGAGGACTGATGGGTGTGGGGGGGAGGGGTGAGATAGGCATGGAGGAGGGCACTTGTGGGGTGAGCACTGGGTGTTATATGGAAAACAACTTGACAATAAACTGTAAAAAAAATAAAACTTTAATTTACAAGTAAAAAAAGAATGTTGCTGTAATAACTGAGTCTTATTAGAGAATACATGGGCTTATGAAATTTATATTTGGAGAAAAATGAAATCCAAGTGAGTTGAGGCAGTCAGAAGCCCAGGAGTGGGTATGAGATTATTTAAACTCTTTGAAAGCAAAAGACAAGCAGTGGAAGAGTGACAAGAAATTCAGTGCACATAGTTTGACAGTATCTGCAAATAATGGTACACATTCTCTTTCTATTATTATTATTTAAAGCCAGCTAGTAGACAGGAACTATAAAAACAGCTGGTCAGGACAGCCTTTTTTCCCTTCAAAAAACTTACTGAACATTTGTAATACCAAGATCCAGGATCTTAGTGAGCATATACAAATAATGATTGTAGAAGGAAAACACACACACACACACACACACACACACACTCACCCTTAGTTTCCAGTGTTTTTCATCTAATTTTATATAGAATATGGTGGTATGAGTTAGCATATAATTTATTATTTAGCAGATGGAAAAATAAGTCAGAGACATCAGCCCCTAAGCAAGATTTAGTCTCAGGTCCCATTTTGCCTATGTTAAAATCAACCAATTTCAACTTGGCCTACCATTACAGAGTATTAGACTTGGAGAAAACCAGAAAAGCAATCAATCTTAGCCCTTTCTTTTTCATTCATCCTTTGGACAAATTATTGAATGCGTACTATGTGTTAGGCCCATTAAGATGTTAGGGGATACACTGGTGAATATGAGAGTCTTTGTCCTCAAGAATCTCATAGTCTAGGGAAATACCTTTCAAACTTTAATTTTTTAAAATGTTTTATTTATTTTTGAGAGAGAGATACAGTGACAGTGTGAGCAGGGGAGGGTCAGAGATAGAGGGAGACACAGAATCCAAAGCAGGCTCCAGGCTCTGAGCTAGCTGTCAGCACAGAGCACGACGCAGGGCTCGAACCCATGAAGTGTGAGATCATGACCTGAGCCGAAGTCGGAAGCTTAACCAACTGAGCCACCCAGGTGTCCTGTGCCTTTTAAACTTTAATGTGTATACAGATCAGCTGGAAAATCCCGTGAAAATGTAGATTTTAATCTATAATTCAGTAAATCTAGGATGGGGCTTGAGATTCTGCATTTCTAACAAGTTCCTAGGTGATGCTCATGTTGCTGGTCCACAGAGCATACTTTGGAACATAAGCGTTTAAAGGGTGAATGTATGAGAAACGGGTGTAAAGAGGCCAAGTGACCTGTCCAATATTACAGGAAAAAGCTGATAGACCCCAGATCCCTGACTCTTAATCCAATGCCCTTTCTACTCCCTCACACTATTCTGAAGATCAGAGTGTATTTATATTTGACTTGGGCATCATCCACAATTTTGAAATGCTTATAAATTGTTGGACTTAAATACTGATAATTTAGTGGTAAGTACTGCAAATTTATGTTTGCATTAGAAGATGTACTTTAAAAAGTAGGTTTGGAAAGGTCCTTTCACAGAAACTCTAGAGTCCAGAGGAAAGATACTCAAATCCAAGAAATATGCACATAGTGGCTAAACACAATCTATTACTGCATATACTCCTTTGTACAAGAAACATTTATTCACAGCCTACTCTATGCATAGACAATAATCTTTACTCACACCTATACCCATAATACACTTTACAGGGCTAAGAATACAAAGATATACCCAGTAAGTCCTTTTGGCTAAATGATAACATTGAAGTAGATACTATGGAAGATCAGCTGCAGTGTTTGAGTCCTCTCCTGAAGGAATTTGAGATCTTGTTGTATAAACAAGTCTTATTTTTAACATCATTTTCAGAAAATAGTTCCTAAATATGAGTAAGATTATGACCTTGTGATATAAACTATTAGTAAGTGCTGGAGCAATTCAAAATTGTGTAAACTTAAGCATAGACTGGGACTCATCAGAAGTCCTGATAAAGTACATGAAAATTCAACTGAAGTACAAAGAGATTGGAAGGCTTGGGTTTCTTTGGAAATGTACCATGATAATATTTAAAGTAGAGGGACTCCGTGCAAAAGTGCAGAGATAGCATTGATAATGAGAAGTTTAGTTTAAGGTAGTAGATTGACATGGTATGGTGGAATTTGGAGAGTGGAGGTACTAATGTGAAGGAAAACTATTGTATAGATACAGGATGAACATTCTTTTAAAAAAATGCTTTATTTATTTTTGAGAAAGAGATACAGTGACAGCGTGAGCAGGGGAGGGTCAGAGAGAGAGGGAGACACAGAATTCGAAGCAGACTGCAGGCTCTGAGCTGTTGTAACACAGAGCCTAATGCGTGGCTCAAACCCACGATCTGTGGGATCATGACCTGAGCCGAAGTCAGACGCTTAACCGACTGAGCCACCCAGCCGCTCCAGGATGAACATTCTTAAGGAATGTTGTCTAAAAACACACAATAGAAATGTATAACAGAAAGGTTTTTATTTTGTTCTGACTTTCTCTTGGATAAATATCCTGATGTTAACATATTACCATCACCTTATTAAGATTTATCATTCAACTTATTTATTTAGTTAGGAGTCTAGATTTATCTAACATTAAACATTAAACATTTTCTAACATTATCTAACTTAAGTATGAATCATATTGGAACTTAAAAATACTTGTATATTTTATTGACTTCAGGGTGTGTGACTTTATGTAAGCTAATATCCAGTTACCCAGCGTTTTTGGTAACAAGAAAATATTTAGGGGAGCCTGGGTGGCTCAGTCAGTTAAGCATCCGACTTTGGCTCAGATCAGGATCTCATGGTTCGTGGGTTCGAGACCCACACTGGGCTCTGTGGTGACAGCTAACTCAGAGCCTGGAGCCTGTTTCAGATTCTGTGTCTCCCTCTCTCTCTGACCCTCCCCTGCTCACGCTGTCTCTCTCTCTCTCAGAAATAAATAAAACATTTAAAAAATTAAAATAAAATAAAATAAAATTCATAGCAGTTACCAACACTGTCTTATAATAAATTAAAAGACGACAGTTATCTAGTGCAATATTGGATTTATATCTCCTCATAGAACAAGTGCATTGAACATTTTATACATCATTTCTACAGTATGTCTAAAGTTACTACTAAACATTTAATGATGGAAATATAACCAACATAGATTTACATTTTATTGTGAAGATTCTTAACATAAATCTCTGTAAATTTCCATTTAACACATATTTGGCCTATGAATTACTTAAAAGATTGTACAAAAGAGGAATGAGAGAGGATCAATGACTTGGCTAGTGTAAATGGAGACAAAAATAACCCATTGATAATAGTTGATGTCTTTTTAAATTCCTGAAGGCACTTTTCAGTATTTATGGTGAACTTGACTCAAATGCTAGTCAATCCTTAAGAGTATTAATTACTTGGAATTCTCCATGCTGCCTGTTTTTTTTTGTTTTTTTTTTTTTTACTTTCCACTCATATATTCTACGTTCTTTTCTTTTCTGTTTTTATGGAACACTTCAGGAATTTGCATGTCATCCTTGCACAGAGTCCATGCTAATCTTCTCTATATTATTCCAACTTTAGTATATATGTAACTGCCAAAGTGAGCACTCATATATTCTATATTTTTAAAAATACATTTTTGAAACTTTCTGACCAAGTTTTTAATTTATTAAAACATGTATAAATTTAGTTTTATCCCATCTAAAGTAGCAGCTAAGAAACTACTCTTTGGGAATCACGGTAATGAGTACTTTGGATATTATGGAATATATCTTCTTGCTCGTGTGCAGACTGTGTTAATCATAGAAAGCTCAACCCATTCTATTCTTTTGTATATTCCTCTACTTCAGAGGTTAGTGCCTATCTACATTTCTTCACTCAGCCTACAAGATAGAAATCCCTTGGGTCCTTCCACCCATTGTTTGCTTCTTTTAACTCTTGGCAGCTCCATTTTTGGCTCTGGTAGCTGTAGGAGAAACCTCTTTTTTTACATTCCCTGACAGGCCCTGAGATAATTCTGGGAAGCTTTACTAACCTGCCCTTCTAAACCTCTAGTGCTTTCTTTCCTTTGCAGAGGTTTTGTTGTGCTTTTCATAACTCTTAAGTGTATTTCAGATTAACCACAGTAGTTTACAGTTGCTGAAGCCTTTCTCATGCTAAGGTTCCAAACGAGTTTTAGCAGCTAGCTCCTAAGGAGACTGGAAAAAAGCCTTGATTACTAACTCTGTGCTAAACTGCTTTTCACAATGGGACATTCTACAATATTTGATATAGTCTTTAAAACAAATGATTTCTACCTTATGTTATTACTATTTGTATCATACTCCATTCTCAGCTTTCAAAATATTCCATGTCTGTACTTCTATACAAACGAGCTTGATTTTATTTAAAACCCTAGAGAGAAGTTAGAAGCTTCCAATTATGATGGAGAAACAAGTAAAAGTGGTATCAGTAAGGTCATGTGAATTGACACATAAATATAATAAAGTGTACTTTCTGGAAACATTATTTCTATAAAGGTAAAAGTGTTTTTTTCTTGGCTATAATTTATAAATAGGTAGAAGGAGAGCTGCTTCAATAAAATTTGAGCAAACAGACTCAGATGTTTCTAATGTGTTTCCAGTGTCCCAGGGTCAGGGATCAGCTCTAGTGTGAGGTGACAAAGATGTGCTCAGAATCTCACAACTAAAACCACACTGTAATGAATCCAATACCGTATAATGGAGAGTACATCAGATGTGTGATAGGAGGTGGAATGCCACTTTAATGAGGAAATCATTCAAAGTAGAATCTGAACTACAACTCCTAATGGTTGCTTTACAAATCAAATTGATCTGCTAGTATCATGTCAAATTATTTCTCCCATAGTTATCAAAGAAAATTTTTAACAGTCTAACAGGAGAACTGAGACATATTTTACCTTGATTTATGACTCACATTAGTCAGCTAAATTTTGTTGGCAGATTTCTTATTATAAAATTATTTAGGCTATAAATAAAAACACATTAAAAACTTTTTAAAAATATTGAAAAAAGCATATGAAATCTCAATGTGTTTTGTTTGTTATCATGAGTTATATAAATTATAAATATATAAATTATGTAAATGAGTTATATTTCTCATTTTAAAATATATTCCAATGTACTTTTGATTTTTTAAAAAATCTTTAAAAATATCTTAATAAACTAAAAATGGAAAATAATCCCATAATATGATAAACACCAATACCATATTTAACAGTAAAACATTAGAGCATCATTTACTAAATGTACTCAAATTAACATACCTACTTTATAATACATTAATAGATTTACGATAATAAAGGGTTTCATAGTTAAATAAATCTGGGAAGTGCTGGGTTAAAACTTTTCTTTTAATGCAGGACTTCTCAAAACCATTAATATGCTACTATTCATTGGGACTCTATAAGATAAATAATAATATGGTTGGATCACAAATGTATTTGGGCACAGCAAACTTCTTCTAGAGCACCTCCAACAAGCAGGGCTCTGAGAACTATGCCTTGACAAACACTGACATATTATTCAGCAGACGTAAGTCAGTGTGTACTAACCTTTTGTCAGCAATTACTTTTGTCTAACTCACCACAGATAGGTGTCATGTTAGTGATATGGTTAGATGTCATTGTGCATTAGAATCAGCTGAGGATGTTTGCCAAATTTCAGATTCCTAGGCTCTGCTCTCATTCAGCAGGTGCAGCCTGAGTTTCAGGAATCTACATGTTACCAATATCAAGTGAGTTTTCTGATGTAGGAATCTATAGTTTATACTTTTAGAGGCACCGTATTACAAAGCGTGGGTCAGTTAATAAATAGGAAAAAATGAATGTATTAATTATATAATTCTGAAACTGGATGCTTAATAGCACTGTGTTTTGTGCTGGTCTCAGCCCATCAATAAGTAATGTTTTGGTTGGACTTGCCTTTGTGGCTCTTATGATTGCAAGATGTCTTTCAGCAACAACTATCAGGAAACTTTGAAAAAAATAAAAATTTAATCCTTACAAGACCAGGAAATTACACAGCACATCTGGGGCCACACAGAAACCTCACAGGTAGAGAAAAAGAGCATATTAGGCCAGGGTTCTGCTTTTATTGAGGTCTAGGGTGGGGGCTTAGGATTTCCTAGGTTCAACTCTTTATTGATAAATTTAAAACATAGAATTGGGAATTTAGATAGAACACAGGAAGAGAAAAGGCAAGTGGCTTAAATGGTGTTATTAAAATCAACCAAGATCTCACAAAACAAAGTAAACTTAGTTTGGGGGCAATGTGAAGGAGTGGCCTGGCTCGTTTTCTAGTCTTACGGATGACAATGCACTTGCATTACAAAACAAAAAATAACAACAAGAAGAGAAAAACAACTGTCAAGTCTTAACACTACACACTGATATCACATATTGAAACTGGGACATTATGAAAAGTTTTTTGACAAAAGGTCAATTAGCATAAATGAATATATTAGTCATCTCTAATACTCATATGCCAAGCATGAACTCATTGATTCACTATTGTCTTAAATATTTGTGTAATGTGCACTTTTGATTATGCAACATATAACTAAAAGCAATGAAAATGCCCCTTCTCTTGTGAACTTCAACATCCACTTCCTCTTCCAGCATTGATTGTAGTTCTCTACGCATAGCATGGTATTTTGTGCTTTATGCCTCTCCTCATGCTATTCCCCAGTCTAAAATGTCCTTTTCCTTGTTTCTTCCCCTGGTTAATTTGTTCCCTGTTGAGTATGAATATTTATGGGTGGTTTGGAATGAGCATAACTTATTTATGTAGCTAAATGGGCAATGATTGCGGTTGGTAGAGTATATGCGTGTGCATGTATTTGATGAGACAGGAATAGTATTTGTTAGTCTGAAACAGGTTACTAAAGAGCCTAAAATTCCAAGGCAGGTTAAAAATTACAAGGCAGGTGATCCAGTAAGCTACAGATATATAGTAATTCGGGAAGGGATTAGCATGAGGAAGAGAGGCAGTTGAAATTCTACTCAGGGAGCACCTGTGTGGCTTTGTCGGCTGAGCGTCCTACTTCAGCTCAGGTCATGATCTCACAGTTCATGAGTTCAAGCCCCGCATCAGGCTCACTGCTCTCAGAATAGAGCCTGCTTCAGATCCTCTGTCTCCCTGTGTCTCAATGCGCCCCCACCAGCTTATTCTCTCTCTCTCAAAAATAAATAAAACATTAAAAAAATAAAGAAATTGCACTCAGTTTCCAGCATACCCTTTTTCACCCCAAATAATTTTGCTCATCACTGAATTTCATTCACTTTTTTTTTTGGTAAGAATTTCATTCCCTTTTGATTAATTTTCACACCTACTTGGATCTGTCTTAGGAGTAGCACTTTACTGTGCGTTAATAATGATTACTGGTTACTGACTGAATGGGATGGCTCTTTCTACCACATCTTCAGATTTCAGTCAAAGCACTTCTTTTTAATCATTCTGAAAATAAAAACAAATGCAATGCTTCTCAATTACTTCAGTATTACTACCTCTCAATCTTCAGGTAAAGAAATCATCATATCTTGCCATCTCCCTTATTCACAATCAATGCTACAATTTTTGTCAAGATGCCAAATATTTGCCATGATAGACATGTTGTAGATGGATTGTGGTCATAATGTTGGATAATGGAGAAGAATTCTATTTAAGATTTTTTAGAGATGTTAGATTTGACTCCCTTCTAGTGTGAGACTTGTTTCAGGATAAAAGAGAAGAAAGGATATTTCACTTAATTATGATTCATAATGTCAGGATTTAAGTGTTTTAGGGCCTTGTGGGAGCAGAAAAGGTAGTGGAAACAGGAAGCCAGGCTGCCATAAGCACACACATAACAAGTAATTAATTGACTACAGACATGAGGAAACCTACAGAGAACATTAGAAAATACTATTGTACATGAAATGTGTTAACAACAGTATCGTGAACAGCTGGATGCTGGATTTTTTATAACAAAGCAAGTCATTTTAATTTGATCTAAGCTTCAGCTTTTAATTGAATTTATAAGAACATGGGAAAATTAAAAAGCAGCTTCTGGCAATTCAGAAACAATATTTTGGCTCAGAGTCTAAGCCTCTCTCTAAATTTGGGAAATATAACTCGGGATAAAGATTGAGCAAAGAAAAATCATACTGTAATACCAAGGATGGAAGACCTATGCCTCTGATTTTAAATAGATTCTGATTTTCATTGTTTCTCAGAAAGGTTGCTGTTCCTTTGGACATAATGATATCTTACAGTGACCAACAAGTATGCTTTAATTATAGATAGTTGATTGAATCAGCTACATGACTTTTTCCTCTGTGAAAAGTCAAGAATATCATGTAGAATAATTTTTCAAAAACCTTCAAAGCGGAGCAGTTTGCTGAGGTCAGAGATGAATCTTCTTTGTTAATGGACCTCAAAAGAACTTGTAAAGAAATTTTTTTTTTTTTTAAATAATGCGACTTCATGTCTTTTGACTAGAGCTGGAGAAGACTTATGTGTTCAAAATTGCTGCTTTCTACAAGAAATCTAAAAGATCATTAGTTTTCTTTTCTTGAAAAGGGTACCCTGAACAATCATATTTATATC